GTCTGTAGCCCAACCCTTCGCTCTATGAGGCAACTTGTTCATACAACTTTACATATAGACACGCAGGTGCAATAATAAAAGCAACTGGGAAAAACTAAGGCGTAAACAAAACCATGTCAAGTATGTTGTGCCCTGTTTGGGGTAGGGAGCATCCTCTCTGTGTCTGCACAGTGTCTAGCCCAATGGGAAACTGATCATTGACTAAGAAAAAATAACCTCTTGGTTTGGTTGCAGTAGTGCCTGAACGGTGCTCTAGGTACATCCCAAGCACAGAAGGGCTCAGTTCCTGCCCTGGAAAGTGTAGAGTCTAAAATGGCAAAGGCAGCATGGGGAGAAGGCATAAGTTCAGAAATCTTAGGCATGTGCTTACCAATAGCCTTATTAGGGGTGTCTTCACTGCAGAATTAGCCTGGGTTAGACTAGCCTGGGTCTGAGCAGTCCCACTATAAAGCCCTCCCGCACTGGTGCTGTGCTTCCCTGTGTGTCGCTAGGACTTCTGGGGGCACATCTTTAGTCCTGCAGCAAGCTGAACGGCTCTCGTAGTCTCTTTCCCAGTGACTTGTGGGAGAACTTGTTGGTCCTTCTAGGCCCACGGGGAATTGTGGGAAGGCACTGGGGGACTGTCAGCTCTTGAGTGACTTAGCCTGCCTCCTCACTGCAGAGTGGGTGGGTTACTGAGCTGAGTGAAAGAAAAACCTAGGCTCTAACCCAGCATCTCCTTCTGGGAATTAATAGTCCTGTTAAAGGTTCCATTACCTTCTCCTTTGCAATGTATTTCGTAAACTGGCCATGATCTAACCCACTCTTCTGTAGGAGGTGTTGACTCATGCCTAACATCTAAGGGCCTTTTCCATCAGTGGTCATTCTGATGAAATAAGTGAGTGTAGGGTATAGGACTGCAAGTTAGAATTGGGTTCTACTCCCACTTGGGTTGGGCCTTTGACCAGTCCAAAAATAAGTGGTCAAATATTTTAAAGCACTAACTTATTAGAAGAGTAACAAAAAACAGAAGAAGACTGTATGGCCTCCAATAGGCTTAGCCTTATGTGTAACTACAAAATAAAAAACCCAAGTTCCTTAACTGAGTTAACTGAGGGAAAAATATGAAACAATGACATTCTAGAAAATGAAAAAATGGCACCCTGAAGCCATCGAAAAGGTAGGCTGCCACCTATGTCAGACCATTCTTGCTTGAATGTTTGACAGTATTTGATTGTGGTCACATTGAATTTTATTTTACCAGACAATTGGCTGGCTTGCCAAGGCTGAACTCCCAGCTCTGCCACTGGACAGGTCAACTAACCTCTCTTTCTGTGTATATGTGTGTTCCTATCCCCCAATGGGTGTTATACTTTCTCATTTCTTAAAGACGTGCCTAGGTCCATGCATTTTGTGGGGAGCTTATTTGCCAGCTCTATTATGCCTTGGATAGGGCTTGTTACCACAGATAATCCATCCACTCAGCTGGGATTAAAGGTGGCTCCCTTCTAATGGAAGTTTTGGTTCTTGTGCGATGAGTTTTTGGAGTGGGAAGATCTTGGATCTGGCTTCCACGTCTCACTTATCACCGGGCTTTGGGCTACTTGGTGGAGGCTTAGATCTTGGTGGCGCCATGGAGACAATTACTCAGTTACCCTAGAGCAGTGTTTCTCAACCTTTTTGATACCAGGGACCCGGCTTGCCGCCTTCCTGAACTGTCTCCGGGACTGGCACCCGTCCACGGATGAGTCATTGAGAAACACTTCCCTAGAGGACATTTTCCAACCCCCCCCCTCCCCCCCCCCCCCCGTAACTGGATGTGAAGCATGCTGGCAGGGCAGTGTGTGGGAAGCTTGTTCTATTGCTGTCCTGTAGATCAGCAGAGGGCTTCATTCCCCAAGGCGGCCTGTCTGACTCCTCTCGCCGGTGCTAAATCCACACAGCTTTTAAAGCTAGAGATTATGGTTACATGCAAACTAAGAAGTTCACTTGTACATAATGTCAGATCTGCACAGAACTTGGCAGCTCTGCTTTTTAAAGTGTCTTGATCCAGGGGTGCCAAAGATGGGTGTGTGCATAGGCTCCGTATTAAGAGTGGGAGCAGATTTTTCCAGAGTGGGCAGATCATACCGGTGTTGTCTTTATGGATCCAACAAACTTACATGGAGAAAACAACGGAGTCTTGTGAAACTGCTGTCCAGGGGGCCCCTGTGACTACTGGTAAAGTTCAATCCTCCCACTCTACTGCTGTGCTGCAGTTTTCATTCAGTTCCTCACATGAGCTTGCAGTGACCTGTGCTTGCCCTTGCCTGTTGTGGGTTATTTAAAGTCTGCAGCCCTGAATCAGCATCAACCTTGTTCAATAAGCGACAGATTTTACCTCTCCTTAGTGCTATCAGACTCTGGGTGTATAAGCGCAGACTCTGTTCAAATAATTGTCTGGGTAAAGGGCTTGAGTCAACAGAGCTGGGAAATCAAGGTGGAAATTCTGCCCTTACCCCACTATGCCTCATTAGATCATGTGGTATAGCAAGTTTATATGTCATGGATGTTGTATCAAATGCTATTTTAAAAGTCTGAGTGCTTGATTACTTAATAAGTGATGTCAACCCATGACTGTAATTTTGAGTACTAGAGCTAGTAGGCAGCCTTCCAGTGAAAGCGAAAACCGATTGCAAAAGCTTTTAGCAATGCAGTGTGTGGTGTAGGGGTTGAGAGAGAACTGGATTAGAGAAGTCCTTCATCCTGTCTCTAGTGGCTTGTCCCTGATGGTTCAGAAGAAGGCATTCCTAATGCACACTGCCTGGATCAGAAGTGAGTAGGTGATTAGGAATGTGGGAAGGAGCCCGGGGTCGGAATCTGTGAAGAGCAAAGCTGGCTGAAAGGGTGACATTTCAGCGAGCCCCCCCCCCCCCCCAAAAAACCCTAAAATTTCTATCAATTTCAAAATGTCAGATTTCAGCCTGATCTAACTTTGTGTTCTCCGTGGATGTAGTAGATCTCATGCACCAGCTAGCTTGCACGCTAACCCTGATTAAGCAAAACACTTCTTCCTAAAGCTAGGGAACATGCTTCCGTGCTTACGATTCAGTGATCAGGGTGCAAGCTTGGGATTTTGGAGCTCTGGGTTCAATTCCCTGCTCTGCCAAAGACTTCTTATGACCTTGGCCAAATCAGTTAAGATTAGATTTTCAAAGGCATTGGGCATCTAAAGATAATGGTGGATGCCTAGTGGGATTTTTTCAGTTGCATTTAGCTGGGAACAGAACCCGTTTAGGTGCTTTTGAACATTTCCCTAGATCAGGGGTCGGCAACCTTTCAGAAGTGCTGTGCCGAGTCTTCATTTATTCACTCTGATTTAAGGTTTCGCGTGCCAGTCATACATTTTGACATTTTTAGAAGGTCTGTTTCTAGAAGTCTATAATATATAACTAAACTATTGTTGTATGTAAAGTAAATAAGGTTTTTAAAATGTTTAAGAAGCTTCATTTAAAATTAAATTAAAATGCAGAGTCCCCCGGGACCGGTGGCCAGGACCCGGGCAGTGTGAGTGCCACTGAAAATCAGCTTGCGCGCCGCCTTTTGCACGCGTGCCATAGGCTGCCTACCCCTGCCCTAGATGCCCATAGCATCGTTAGGTTCCTAATACCTTTGGATATCCATCTCTGTTTCTCTGTGCCTCATTTGTCAATCTGTAAAATAGGGATGATATTTCCCTAGTTCACGGAGGTGTTGCATTTATCCTCGCATTAAATTGTAAGGTGTTCCAATCCCAATATTGGGGGGCCGTGTAAGATCATAAGAGATCTAAGTGAGGAGAAATTTCATCTTCAGGTTTACAGGCAGTGGAATAAATGCACCTAAAACCCAAATTGTTTAGACAACTACAGTCTTCTTGCTGTCTTTGACTTTTTTTCACTTCTGCTTTCTGGTTCAGTAGTCCCCCGCACTTGTGCAGTCTGGAACTTGGAAGGGGAGTGGGGTTAAGATGCCTGTCTTGTCTTGATTTTATTATGATGCACGGGCGTTTCCTGTCCCAATGTTCTTGCGAAAAACAGCTTTTTAAGTCATGCGCACTGTTCCAACGTTATGGAATTTCATAACCCTGTAATTTAGGGAAGTTAAGTGCCCATGGCTATCACAGAGAGCCTCAGAAAAAGTCTTGTTTGTAGTCTGTTACAGTGGCACATTTTCTATTAGCGGTAGCGCCAAACCACATTCACTCTGCTCTTGATTTTCTTCACTGCTTGAGTTCTTTCCATTGTGGATCTCCATGACGTTAGCTAGCAGCACTTGGGTTAGTATTTTTCTCCTTTTTAAAGAGGAAGCAATAGGAATTTGTTGATTGGCCTGTGAACACAAGCAGTATTACTCAAGCACTTCCGTTATGTGCAGCAGTGAGGACAGATGTAACTGGACAGCCAGAGCAATCCGACTTTCTGCTCCCTTGGGGTGGATGTGGTCAGAGCAGCTGTTGTGGTGGATAGCTTGGTGGCAGCATACAACACATTTTGCTGCCAATGGAGGTGAGTTGAGTCTCGTTGGCACACAGCTAACGGTGTGGGAAGTTTGAACTAACCCTGTCCTCACCGTACGTGCTTTGGGCATAAAGGGGCTTCCTTCAGGAGAGCGAGTCCAGCTCTTGGGGCATTAATTCAGTGTTAGAAATGCTCAAGGCCTTCTTTTGAAAGCTCCGATGCTTGCGGAAGTCTTGCAAGGAGGCAGCATGGTCTGTTGACAAAGGCAGTGGTCTGAGAATTAGTGTTTGGAGGAGGGAAACTGGGCTCTGTTCTCAGCTCTGCCACTGACCTTGCAGTGTGACCTTGGGCAAGTCACTTCACCTCTCTGTCCCTCTAGTTCCCCTCCCACTTTTATCTCTTTAGATTGCTCTTTTGGGCTGGGAGCGTCTCTCGCTGTGTGTGCAGCGCCAAGCACCAGGAGGGCCCAATTTGGGGGCCTGGAGGCCCTGCTGTGATGTAGGGTTCTTTATAGTGAACGGCTTTACCTCTGTTTGCATCTAGGACATGTATGCCACTGAAGCGGCCGAGTCGCTCCTACAATCCGAAGAAACCTTCTCTGCGTGTCTAGCGCGTATCAACGCCATCGTTCTCAAGCCCCTGCTCCAGGCGGGTAAGCCCACAGAGGAGAATGTAGCCATCTGCTCGTGAATCTCTGCTTCCCGGTATCTGATCGATGCAGTACTTGGGCTTCAATGGTAACTGAGGCAGGTGTATTGGAAGGTGTTCTAACCTGGGGAAATGGAATCTAAACCCTAATCCGAGCTCTAAAGCTACGTCTGCACTACACACCGCTTTTGGTGGTGTGTAGCGATGTGTAGCCCCGCGCCGCAGTGAAGAAACAAGCTGCGTCCACCCTGTGATATGTAGATACACATGTCAGCGAAAAGCTCGGGTGAGGGAGGCAGCAGGGAAAGGCACTTTTCCCCGCAGCGGGGGAAGGGCACCAGCAGCTGGGAGATGGCAGAACACGATACGGCTAAAATAGCAATGTAAACGGGGAAGGCAAGGCTTGGCTGAGTAGGGAGCCGTGTAGGGCCTGTATTCAGGGGCATAACCACACTCTTCAAGCGTGTCTATGCGCTACTTGCCTAAGCTATGCCTTGCTGTCTACACTGCTACTTAACCCCATGCAAAGGGTGCTACCCTAGTACATACTCTACGAGGTTGCATGTGACCTCTCGTCCAAGACGTAGGCTTGGATCATTGAGGGCTGTTTCCTTGCTCTTACTGGGGTAAATCCAGATTCCTACTGGTGTGAGACTAGAGTCAGACCTATAGTAGATCTAAACTGGTGCTACTTTCCATTCAGGTCCTTGGTGTTGAAAACCAAGCCCCCAATCTTGCATCCACTTGCAAGCTTGTTTCAGCACGGAGGAGTGAAGTTCGAACGGTTCTCACTCCCTTGCCTAGTCCCCTAAACCGCTGTGCTCCTTCTGCCTTATCCTCTTGATAGCGATGACCACCCAGCTCTTCGCAAATAGAACTTGCACAGCCAGATCCTCAGCTGTGGATTGATCCACCCTACTTCTTAAGGTAGAGGGTGCCCACACATGCTAGCCATCAGCTCTTCTCTCTGTAGAATGTCTCAGATTCATGTACATGTGTCCATTGAGGAAATACAATACCAAAGTAATGCACTGCACCATGCGTCTCCCAGGAGACTACTTGGGTCTCATCGCCAAGTCCTGCCTTGAGTGCAGGGGACTGGACCAGAAGACCTCTCGAGGTCCCTTCCAGTCCTACACTTCTATCATTCTATGACTTTGTAGTATCTTCTCTTCTTGGTCTCTTTCAAAGAGCCTCATGAGCAGAAAGGAAAGGATAACTTGAAATTATTGCTGCTTTTGAACGACTGCTTCCACGCTCTCTGGGACCTGACAGAGGAAAACCACCGGACGCTGAAAGAGAAGTTCAGCATCTCCCCGTCGCTCTGCCTCCAAGACCTCTACATCCTGTGGAAGGGAGATCTGTTTCTCAGTGTCTACATCCAGTAAGTACAAAGACACTATAATGTCGATTACTGAAGCAAACCTATAGACTAGAGATCAGGATGAAATCTTTGTCTATCTCGGCAGTTCTCAAGCTGCGGGTCAGGACCCCAAAGTGGGTCATGAGCCCATTTGAATGGGGTCGCCAGGGCTGACTTAAACTAGCTGTGGCCCAGGGCTGAAGCCCGAGCCCTACCACCTGGGGCTGAAGCCAAAGCCCAAGGGCTTCAGCCCTGGGCAGTGGGGCTCAGGTTACAGGCCCCTGCCTGAGGCTGAAGCTCTTGGGCTTCAGCTTTGGCCCCCTCGCCTGGAGCGGTGGGGCTCGGGCTTTGGCCTCTCCACTTGGGGCAGTGGGGTCGGGCGGGCTCAAGCTTCGGCCCCCCTTCTTGGGTCCTATAGTAATTTGTGTTGTCAGAAGGGGGTCACGGTGCAACGAAGTTTGAGAACCCCTGGTATCTAGTTTGTCCTTTCCTTAGCTGTGGCTGTGATTTTTCCTCTAAAGAGGTTTAAGATGAAGACTTGCCTTCTGGTGCACACTGATATTTAGAAGCTTTATAGGGGTAGAGGGTGGGGATATAAGCCATGACTGAGTTATATGCAAGCCGAGTTTGTGTTGTGATCAGGATGGGAGGACTTGTGTCTAGATCGGGGTGGGGTGTGGGGATGGAAGCAGACCTCCCTGGGACACGGAGTGGAAAAAGTAACGTGTCACAGTCATTAGAATCTATTAAAGTACAACCACCTGCTCCTATGCAGAAGTGTTTTCAGGATTGGGCTCTGATGTGCTATAAACTCCATTAAAATCTGGGATGACCGGCAGCTTATCGTTGCTCTGCCGTTCGTTAGAAACGCAATCATCTCAAACTCAGGACGCTGGATATCACACCATGCTCTCTGCGTAGGCCGGGCTCTGCGTGGGTGTCGGGGCCCGTGCTAGCAGATCGGATTGCCTACACACCCTGGTCCCGATCCTGCAATGTCACATGCTTAGCATGCAAGGTGATCTGACTCTGCGGGTGTACACTGGTGTGTTAATGGTGGGGGAGAGAGAGACATCCATACTAAAGCCATCTCCCTCTCATGCTTCTGGGGAGCAGCAACGTGTGGGTGGCGAGGCAGGGGGGTTACAAATGATATAACAACCCACCCCCAGCAGAACGCCTGGTGGTTTTAAGGAATTAGAGAAAATGGAGCAGAACACATGCTGACATTGTGGCTGTCTGCTTCTAGTGGTGAGATGTCTACTGGGTTTAGTCTAGCAGACCTGGTCCTGTGCCTCAGTAGAAGCCCATAGGTTTAGATCACCGGTCTTGGGTTCAGTCCCTGCAGACTAATCCTCCGGGGCTGTTGTTGCCTGAGCAAAGTGGATCTTAAGGTACTTTCCTGGTAATCAGCCTAGTGGAGAATGTTCCCCATTAATAATCTCCCAAGGGACGTTATACAAGGCATTGGAGAGCATGCTGTAGGGAACATGCGTGGAGGGAATAGTCTATGGGCTTAGTCTCCATCTCGGACACCCTGGGCAAAAAGGTAACAGACATGATCGGCTTTCAAACGAGCCACAAGATTCTCCCAGTGCCTCTTAAACCTGGTAGCTACCACTTGACCCAAACTCGGCCTCTCTTTCTCTTTACCTACAGATACTTTGTCACCTTTGCAAACTGTGTTGTAGTCCAGGGCTTTGACCAGGCGGCAAAGAATAAAAGGTTAGTGGCTTCAGACCCTCCAGTGTCCTGTTCAGCCTGAGGGAATAACCCTGTCTGCATGAGGGAAAGCTAAAGGAGTGAGACTTCAAGCAGGCCTTAGAGTCCCCTGGCTTATGGGAGCTGGCCTTGCTACAGTGGTATACTGGCCAGAAAGTGCCTCATCACGCTAGTAATCCAGCCAGTGTGTTAACGGGACGGCACGGAGTAATCTCTACTTCATGGCTGGGTTGCAAACCTACCATGCGGGCTTCTCCCAGCTTCAGTGGAGGCCACGATGCCAGGTTACCCCCTAACCACTAGGCTAAAAGTTCTATGGGGCGGTACCACCACCTCCTCCACCGACTTTGAATCTGACCCTTTAAAAATGCCAGGAAACAAACGCTTTGGGTCAAACCACTTCTTTAAATCAAGCGGGTGTGTTGGGTTGAACTGCTGAAAGGTCTCAACTTTTTCGAATTTGAACCCAAACCCCGCTTGGAACTGCTGGCGAACTGAAAAATCAGTGATGTGCTCAGCTCTAATAGTGACCGAACTGAGTGTTTAGATCCCGGGCAGGAAGGAGAGCAAAAAGGGACCAGAATGTGCCGCTTAGTGTGTCACAGCATGTCAACCAACGAGCGCAGCTACTTTTTAAGGTATGTCTACACTGATGTCGTGAGGTGTGATGGCAGCATGTGTAAACATGCCTGCCCTAGCTCAGTACTAATGGCAGTGAAGCTGCAGTAGCATGCACTGTAGTGCGGGCTGTACAAGTCTTCCTGGAACCTTGCCCCCCCCCAGGCTAACCCGTGCAGAAATGCACTGCTACAGCTTCACTGCTCCAATACCAAAGCTATTTGAGCAGCAACTGAACACCGATTGCAGGTTAGGTAGTCTCCTAGAACCGGAGCCGCTGCTGCTCTCTCACGATCTTGATGGATTCTGAGATGGTCCTTACCTCAAAGTGAGGAGGGATCCCCTGTGATTTGCTCTCCCAGCTCCTTCCAGCCGATCTTGCTGGGAAACAATGAGGGGAGAGAGTCACTGAGGTAAAGAGAGGCAAGCACTGAAAAGGTCAAAGACCTCGGTCTCCGGCAGAAGCTCCATTTCAGCTCCACGGAATTACATCTTGTGCAATTTCTCAGGTGCGTAGTGGAGACAGACCATGCAAACTGCCATTTGACTAGAACGTTCAAAAGCCTGCTCATAATTAGGCACGAGTAACCGCTGCAGAATTGCAAAATCGCTCAGGTAGAGAGCAGATAAAATCAGAACGGCTGGAGGATTTGCCCTGTTAGAAGTGTCCAGAGAAGCATTTAATTTCCAGTCAGAACTGGAAGGCCTGGAAATTTGCACATACGGCACACGTTTTCTCTGCTATTTGAAAGATTTTTGCAGTCTTGCCAAGGACAATAGCAGAGCTGCCGGCTGTGCTGTCCGCTTGCTCTTTCTAGATCAGTGGCTTTCCACCTGGGGTCAGGGGTCTTCAGACTGCCCAAGATTTCCAAAGGGGTCCACACCTCCATTTGAAATTTTTAAGGGTTCTCAAATGAAAAAGGTTGAAAACCACTGGCCTAGATGCTGCAAAAGTAACTTCCCTCTCCCCTTAATTCCTGATCAGTTTCACTCAGTGAGTTATGACGTGTAACAGATCTACAGTCGAATGACTGCATTTCAACACTGAATAGCTTTGGTTGGTAGCCAGCACATAATTTATATTAATATAAAGATAGAGTTGGGGGCGAGGGCTGTGTGCGTTAGTGGTAGGGGAACCGCACATGGTTAAGGTAAATATTCAGACGTTGCGGTTTTCATCCAAATTTGGGTCTGTAAAACTGGGCCAGGAACGTCATTACAATAGCTTTTCTTACACTGTGTTTATTGCCGGTCCTTACCGTAATGAGTCCTGTGGAAAAGGATATTGAAAAGACAATCGAGCTGGACTTCAGTAGTTTGGGGCTTTTATCTGAATCGGTCCACTAGTGTATTGTGTCTAGTGTGTAACTCCAGCAGTGTGACTGTAACACCATACTCCTTAGGTGTACTTTACAAAAAGGGTAAGTGATTTTTGCCAAGGTCATGTGGCAGGTGTGGAATAGAGCTCTGGTATATGGTCTCCCAGTCCAGTGACTGCCCCACTAGACTACACTTCTACATTGGCCATAGTTACTGACATCCCTGCCTGGGAGTCACCGGTGCCCTGTCAGCAAAGTTGCCGTGTAGCATGGGTGTGACTGAATATTTGTTTGGCTGAGCAGGTGGGCGGTCGTGAAAAGTTGCCTCGTTAAGAGAGGTTAGACACTACTAAGCGTGGGGACGCATGCCCAGTAATGAACTGGTATCTTGTTGACTGGAAACCTTGCAGTGAATTCTGGAAGACACACAAGACAGCACTGAAGCAATTCCTTGCAGACTTCACCTCTGAGACATCCATACCGGTGGCCCTGCATACAGTACTCCATAAACCTCTCCGGGATCACGTGCAGCAATATGCCCTCATCCTTACCAGGCTCAGCGAGGCCATTGGCAAGGTAACTAGACTATTCATACTGGTATTCGACAACCAGTCTCGGTATTCCATACACAGAGCTCTGGAATATTGTGATACTGTAACCACCATATGCTGTAAGGAAAATGTATGTAACAGGCAGACAGGGTGGTAGGGGGCCGTGTTGGTGCAGATTCCTTCATCTAAAGACTCTAAAACACTTTACTGTAAAATCATTAGGCATTGCCAATACTTTCTGCCAGCTCTAGTTGCAAATAGTTTGATCACCAAAAAATGCGCTTTTGGTCAACCTGAAAACGTTGAGTTTTGCCAAATAGTATCAACTGAACCAAAAAAACCAAAATGTTTTGGAAATATCCAAATGAAACACTTGTTTTGACCTGACTTGAAGTTATTTTGACTTTCCAGTGCGCCAACAATCTCAATTTCATTTTTGGTTTAACCTGATGTGAAGCTTTTGTTTTGTTTTTGGAATTGCCAATGTATAGAAAAATCCACTATTTGCCCATCCTAAATGGCAACACAACACAGGCCACCCATAATACAGCTAGGTATACAGAGGGGAAGTAAGTGGCCCAGGTTCACCCAATAAGCAGAGGAATAGATCCCAGAGGCTTGATGCTGTAATTTGCTCTAACCATTAGACAATAGAATGACAGATTCCAAGGCCAAAAGGGATGGCTGTGATTACCTGTATAATACAGGCCAGAGAACTCCCCTAAAATAATTCCTAGATCAGAGCTTTTAATAAATCAGCAGTTCACACACTAGTAATAAGGGCCAGCACAATGAATTCAGAGCTGCCACGGCTGTCCTACAGCTGTGATGTAGGAAGAGATGGAGATCTGGTATAGTTCTAGCTGAAACATTCCTAACGGCACATTCTCCTGTTGACAGAGCCCGGACCGAGAACTCGTCACCAGTGCGGCCAAGCAATATGCCAAGCTGCAGTCTTTCATCAGCCAAGTCCTGGATGAAGCCTGCCTGACCAAAGCCCTGTGGAAGTCCTTGGGACACAAACTCACGGTGAGTCAGAAACAGCATCTCGGTGGCCCTCCAGTCTGCTTTCCTTCATGGTCATGCTGATGGCCCAGGACAAGAGATTCCAGAGCATGCATTGTACTAGGAACTAGACAAGTCCTCAGGAAGGGAATCCTTTATTGCATCCACTTTACCAAAGGGCTGGCCATTCCAATGCCTTCCCCATGGTTCTGGAGAGCCATACAGCGGGCCCCAGGTCTTGTATTCTCAGGTTAGGTTCCATAACGGGTTCATTCACGGAGGCTGTTCAACATCCCGTTCACCAAAGAAGGGTGACCCCCAAAATATTCAGGGGTCAGTGTGGCTTAATTGACTAGCCAAATCTCTAAGCCCCCCTCCAATGCTACAAAACCCCCATTCCTGCCTCAGACCTCCACACAACTGCCCCGATCAGATCCCCAAACATTCCCTTTTCAGTCTGTACAAATCCCCACTGCCCTCCCGTCCTAGGGGGCCTGTGTTCTGCCTGTCTGGGGTGGCGCTGCGACCTCTGAGCAGGGGCCCTGCTGCTTGCTATTCCTTCGGCATCCTTTCTCCTTAAAAGGTGCAAGTAATAGTGGCCAAGCTCCTGCTGGTGTCTTGAAGCCTACAAAATATACATGGCCTCCCTAATCCTCTACCTGGGGGTGACCAACCATCCTGCTCCCCCACTCTGGGGCTTGCAGGGGTCTGTCTCATGTTCCTTTGCCTGGGAGCAGCATCGGGCTCTGGCTGTAACTCTTCTTCCATGGCACTTCCAGCAAGTGCTTGTCCCCACCAGAAGTGAGAGAACATTTATCCAGACACCTCAACTGCAGTGCCTTCAGGTTTTTTTTGTTCCAAAAGTAGGCAAGAGTTCGGCAGGCTTCCTATGTTATCTGCTTCCTTCCACCCCTCTCTTCCTGGGGAGGCAAAGTTAGTATTGCTCCCACATTCTAGTCTTCTCTAGGGCTGCGTGACTGGTTCAGACGTGACTATGAGCTTCCTTGAACCAGGCCCCATTCAAGCATATGGAACCCAAATGTTCTTGGGGACAAAGACAGAAGTAGACTCAGTGAAGACTTATCTAGGTCTCCCGCTTCCAGGGTGCGGCCTTGGAGGTTTCCAAGGGTTCTCCATCACTGGAAACCTTGCGTGGTTGAAGCTCTAGTTTGAGGAAACTCTTCTGTTTGGCTTCTTCTGCCCCCGTAGCTCTCTAACGTTGGCAGTCAGCTAGTCTCTCTGAGGTGATCAGAGTGAGATGCCCTGTACCCATTCCTACAGGTGCTTCTCTTTGGGGAGTCCATGAGCTCTTTCTCCATCACGTACTTCCTTGGTTCCCTTGGCAGGAGTGGCTCTGTGTTCCTGAGCGCAGGCTGCTGGAAGACAGCAAAAACCTTCCGGTCTTCGCCAGCGTGGGCCGAACCAACCGGGTTTTGCTCTTTGATGACATCCTAGTGCTGATTCAGGTGAGTCGGCCCTGGGAGGAGGATAAAGAGCTAACATAGTCGTCGTGAAAGGCTCAGTACTGCTGAAAGTGACGCCACTTCGGTTCAAATACCATAGTGGAGTCTGGCTGTAGTTTGAAATGCTCCAGCTCAGATCCATGTATGTTTTGACTTTCAATGGAGATTAAGAGAAGAAAGCTGGGTAGGGAGGGAGAAGAAGAGCCCTAGCATAATTTTCTTTCCCAGTACACCTGTGCAATTGTAACAGATCCATGCTACTTAATGTCCATGGTTGGAAGTGTCCTTAGCAGGGCCGGCGCTTCTATTTAGGCAAACTAGGCAGTTGCCTAGGGCACCAGGATTTGGGGGGGGGCAGCATTTTGCCGCCCTTGGCGGCAATTCGGTGGCGGGGGG